CTTAGCAGACGAGACGTACGCAAAATGGCGCGCGCGCGCTCTTGGAGTTTTGTGTTCCATGCAGCACCGTCGTACGGCTACTTGTGAATGCCACGCGAGAGTATTGACAACGTCGGTCGACGTCCGCCAGGCAAACAGTTGCCACGCGTGTACGTTCGCTGTCCCCTTAATCTGTCCACGGCCACTGTGAGGGGGATATACAGCCTCCCTATAATCCGACTGCTATGAGGAACTGGCAATGAATGCCCAGCGTATGTCTACGGAACAATCGTGACTTTGATTCTTGGCCTTTCGATGTGTAGCGGAGTATCCGTTGTTTCCGACTGCGGGCCCTTTTCGCCTGTTCGGACAATCGGGGGTCTGTTGTTGGTCAGTTCTTCTGCATAAAGGGCCGCTGGACGTCAGAGTTTCATTATTACGCTTGCTCTGCGCAGCCGCAACTAGAAGGTCTATAGTAGCTGTCGCGTTTAATGAAAATATACACGATTTTCCGTATTCGGTTTCGTATTCGGGTTTACGAAGTTGAAACCTGTATTTAAATGCCAAAGTCACGGCAGATGACTCCGTAAAGGCAGTTCAACAGAAGTGTATGATTGTACAATTTGCAATGTCTACTGTGTTATCACAAGAACGCAAATATTGCAAAATTTGTTAGAGGTTGGGAGAACACACAGCGGGCCCAACTTAGCGTAACGCAAGTACTAATTATTTATTTTTGCTAGATACGTTTGGAAATAGTTAGAAGGGCTCTTCAGTGAAGAATAAAGGTCTTGCAATGCATATAACGAATGAATAGCAGTTCGTCTTTCACTCGGTATATATACAGTTTCAAAAGCATACGCTAATCATCAGGGATCTTGAAACTATCAATTGACGAGCACCGGGCAGATCTAGCGAGGTGAATGACACATACATGAGGTAGCCATGAATAAGAAGCATAGGAAACTGAGTTGAGAAGAGGAATGGACACGGTGGGGCGATGAAAAAAGATGGGGCAATAGCAATTGGAGGGTTGAAAGCGAGAAAATATAGGGGAGAAACGATATGCTACAGAACGTAGAGAAGCGGAGAGAATAGCAGCGCATGAAAAAGAGAGACAGAAAGAGAGAGAGAGACAGAGAGAGCGAGAGGCAGAGAGAGGGAGAGAGAGAGAGAGAGAGAGAGAAAAAGAGAGGGAGAGAGAGAGAGAGAGAGAAAGAGAGAGAGAGAGAGGGGGAGGGAGAGATGTAGAACGGACATCTCACGTGTGCTTGTGGTACAGTAATTCAGGCACTCGGTTCGGGTTTCTCCGCTTAGTGAGTGAAACCAGCGAGCTTATATATATGCTTAAAGTATATCATTACCCTAAAAATAATACGTCATTTCTTCCGTTACACTTCAACCATGGTGATCGCTATATACATAAAGTCAAGAGCTAATAAACATAGCAGTGTACAACGGAAAAACGGGAAAATAGTGCTATTTCACGAAACACATTATTCTACGTTGCTGCGAGTCATAATAATTTCATGGTATTGCATTAAGCAGAATTCTTGCTCTCTAAATACAAGACCAACCGCTTTGTCAATTACGATACTCCTAGGAGGAGATATCGGCTTCCTAAACCTCCTCCCACATGCCAAACGCCGCCGCTCGAATACACTTCTGTCCCCATCCTTCACGCGGCTAAGCGTTGCTTCGTGAGAGTTCGGTTTTTCCGCCATAATTTTATGAATGATTTTCGGGTGCAGGTGCAGGGTGGAGGTTGACTTTCGGGAGCATGGCCTATGCCCTTATTTCCATTATCTTTCCGTATGCACGCGCTAATGCCCGTCATGATGGAGCCGGCAATGTTTTTTTAATAAGTCTCATACACGCAAGCAGTAAGAGTACCAAAATTTGGGCATGTGACATCAATTATCAGCGCTCCAAGCGGTGACGGAAACGATAGCCGCAATGCTTAGACGCGTGAAGGATGGGACAGAAGTGGATTCGAGGCGGCGTTTGCATGGGGAGGGGAGGTTAGGACCGATATCTCCGGCCTAGGAGTATCGTATTGCAAGCGGTTGTCTTGTTTTAGAGAGCAAAGAAATTCTGCTTAATGCAATACCATGAAATTATTATAGACTCGCAGGGCAAAGTAGAATAATGTTGTCGTGAAATAGCGCTATTTCCCGTTTTTTCCGTTGTACACTCTATTATATTAGCTCTTGATAAAGTCATATCCCTTACTTGTAATTACAGTAACATGTGATCTTTAAATTACCACCGAATGATAAAGGATATCTTTAGTCCGTGCTAATATGCTATTTAACTAACAGCATTTCAAAAGGAATGAGTTGACAAAGAAAAAACATTGCTGCTGATCCTGAAATGGCTGGTGGCGGTAACCGGCGACGGAAAATCATTGATGGCTCGCTGGCATGGCAGCGATTTAAGTAGATGATTACTGTCTAATGCCGGAATTATGATAATTAATACGCCTTATTATTATACGCTCAGGCACGCTAGACAGTTCCATGTGATTAGTTATTCGCCTTACGCAGCAGTTTTCAGCAGTGTCGGTATCCTGGTTTGCCGACCCCGACGATTTGCCTACCCTCAGTGATGAGAGACTGATGCCTCCACCCCCAGATACGTCTACACAAAAGATGCCTGGCGAAGTAACATTCGTGCAGCGCACAGTCGCAACACAACATGGCACGCATACACAATACGCTGCCATGCACGCATACATATATATCGCATCATTTCTTTCGCGCGAGCTCTTGTTTCTCTATATCTCTCTCCTCGTCTCACAGCCTTCGTTTCCTTCTTGAGTTCTCGGCTCTCTCTTATCTTCTGCTCTCTTCTCTCTCCCCTTCTCTCCAGTCTCTCTCTCTTTCTCTCTCTTTCCTCGCTCGCTACCTCTCTCTGTCTCTGTCTCGCTCGCGCGCATCTCTCGTATCAATTTTTAATTAGATTTTTTTGTATCAACTGCTTTTTCCGCTACGGAATGGAGCTAAACTTACGTCTTTACTTTTTTTCTAGACTTACTTTTACTTTTACTTACCTAAATAATTTTAACGGCGCTAGCGAGAGCAATTAGCGTCATCAGACTAATTATCACATCAGCGCCACGGGATCGCATAACCGTCGAGTGCGTAGACAAGATGATCATGTTCTTTTACGGAGGAACGAGGGAAACAATAGGTAAAGGTCGGCGGCGCATCAACGTGCATTGGCGTGTCTGCGGTGGGTTTTACTAGCGTGACATTTTATACGTGACCTTTCAGTCGATCGTCATTGTCCGTAGATAATTTTCTGACGAGCAAATGCAGCTGCCAATGCGCGCATGCGCTTCTTACACTGTACAGCTTCATCTGTTCTCCGCCCTTCCTGTCTTTTTTCTTTCTCTCCGTCTCTTCTGTCTGTCTCTCTCTATCTATCTATCTATCTATCTATCTATCTATCTATTATATATTTATATATCATCTATCTATCTATCTAATCTATGCTATCTATCTATCTATCTTCTATCTACCTATTATCTATCTAATCTATCTACTATCTATCCTATCTATCTATCTAACATTATCTATCTATCTATCTATCTATCTAGTCCTATCTATCAATATCTATCTATCTATCTATCTATCTGATCTATCTATCTACTATCTATCTATCTATCTATCACTATCTATATATCTAATCTATGCTATCTATCGATCTATCTACTATCTATCTATCTACTATTTATCTTTCTATCTACTATCTAAGCTATCTATGCTATCTATCTATCTATCTATCTCTCTATCTATCATAATATCTCCTCTATCTAATCTAATCTATCTATCGATATCTATCTACTATCTATCTATGTATCTACTATCTATCTATCTATGCTATCTATCTATCTTCATCTATCTATCATATCTAGCTTCTACTATCTATCTATCTATCTACTATCTACTCTATCTATCTATCTATTCTATCTATCTATCTATTATCTATCTATCTATCTATCCTATCATTTTATCTTTCTATCTATCTATCTTCATCTATCTATGTATCTATCTATCTATCTATCTATCTATCTCTATCTATCTACTATCTATCTATCTATCTATTCATCTATCTATCTGTCTCCTTCACTTCTTCTCATCGCTCTCGTCTCTTCTCTCTCTCGCTTTTGTGTTTCTCTCTCTCCTCTCTCTCTCTCTCTCTCTCTCTTCTCTCTCTTCCTCTCCTCTCTCTCTCTCTCGTCTCTCTCTCTCTCGCTCTCTCTCTCTCTCTCTCTCTCTCTAATCTCTCTCTCTCTCTCTCGTCTCCTCCTCTCTCTCTCTCTCCCTCTCTCTCTCTCTCTCTCCTCTCTCTCTGCTCTCTCTCTCTCTCTCTACATTTAATTCTTATCTTTCCCCATCTCCCCCTCTCTCTATCGCTCAAAGCAGCTTGTTGTGTGCATGTGAAGCCCGAAGTTTCAGGTGATCGCAGTCATTCACTTGTGCGCAAGCATGGTCAGGCTCCTGCTATTCCCTAGTCTCTGCATTAAACTAGCTGGTCCTAATGCTTGCTTGTTAGGTCAGTCTGTTCTCGTTATATTCTCGTAATAACTCTGCGTCAAAACTTAATCCAGAGTTAGTCGACGCCATCCAGCATTTGTTTGTGTGATAGTGTTTATTTTATTGTTTTTTATTCATTTTATTTATTTTATTTTATTCTTTTGTAATGGTAAACCCTTTGTAGAGGGTGCGCGCCGCTTTAGGATTAGGATTTAGACATTTAAATATGTAATATAGTAATAGCAGATGAGTTGCTTCTCCCGTGGCAGTCGTGTCTATCCGTATACGCAGCATTTTGCCACACCACGACAGTCGCATGTGTTACCATGACGTGTGATTCTGGGTATTTTATATGATTCCGGGTATTTGGGGATTCTGGGGGATTCCGGGTATTTGGGGATTCCGGGGGATTCCGGGTATTTGGGGATTCCGGGGGATTCCGGGGGATTCCGGGAATTCTGCGCATTTGGTACGACCTACCTTCGCTTCATCCGGAGGGCTAGGTAACCTTTCATCTGGACTCAGTCTAATCTCCTCCACCTCCACGTTTGGGGGAGGGGGGAGGCACGTCCCACTCGTTGACCTGTAGTGACCTCGCTCGAACCTCTTCGGAGACTGCTGCGCAGGAGGCGAGGCCCTCTCGTGCTGCCCTCTATCGACCTTCTCCGCTGCGTCGCACTCGTGCGTCGCCACGTCTATCCCGCTGTCCCCCGTCGACTGCCGCGCTCGTTGTTTCAAACTTCTGTCGACAGGTGGCACTGGCGAGTCGCTCAGGAGGCTCTCCCTGCTGCCACTGTGCGACGAGCCGGGACTCGTCGACGACTTCGAGTCTTGCGACGCGCGCGACGACGCGACGTCGGCGGCAAACTTGTGCAGGAAGGAGACGGTCGGCGGCGGCACGGGGATGGCTTCGGGGCGCGTGCGCGTGGCGTCGCCACGGTCGGCGCAGTCGGCGCGCGGCGGCAGCGCCGTCTCGTGGGTGCTGCTCGCGTACCCGCTCACCGTGCTACTCGATCTACTGCTCGAGCGAGACTGCGTGGGGACATCGAGCAAGTCCTCGTCCTTGCGAGGGTAGAGTTCTGATGATCCGGTGCTGGACGGTGCCTGACTGCTGCGAGCGCTACCACTGCTGCTGGTCGACCTCTTCGTGTCGTTACCTGGGTGAGAGAATCACCGTCAATGTACACACAGGTGGGCTTAGTTACAGGTGAAGCAGTTACAGGTGGGCTTAATTACAGGTGGGCTTTATTACAGGTGAGGCAGTTACAGGTGAGCTTTATTACAGGTGAGGCAGTTACAGGTGTGTATGTATACGGTAGCGACTGCGATTCGTTATTGCTAATGTTGGTTTAGATGCGCGAGTAGTTTTGCGATGGCCCACCAGATGGCAGCATAACCCCATTCTGGATGGAATGAACCGCACGCGGAAACGTTGCGAACGTATGTATGCACAAGCCGTTCATGCGCTGAGCAAATAGAACAAAAACATGTTACTATTTTTGCGACACAAAAAAGCAACGAAAATGGAAACATTTATACGGTAATCACTATCGTTACTTTACCAGTATATGTCAACAGTACCCCTCCAACCCCGTACGAGAAAAGTTTCTCCACGACATGAGTTATCCGGGTTCGTCAAAATGCTGACCTATTGTATGGATGTCAACCATAGTGGAGATGCTATCTCTGGTCTCCGAGTCATCGTCGTCGCTCTCTCTCCGGTTGTCAGTCCTCTTGTGAAACAGAGAAGCAAAGAAATTTGCGGCTTCGTCTGGTGTAGGTGGCGGAACCTTACTGCGAATCGAGTCGAGTGGAATGTCATCATCCTGCAGTAATAAAACAACAAAAACTGTAATTCATCATTCCCTGGCGAAATCAGAGCAACTCATTACGTATTATGTTGCCGTATCACCAGCCAGCGCTGTTTATTCCTTTTCGGCAATGTTTTGGACTGCGTCAGCACACATTCGTATGAAACCTATTATCCTATCGGCTGAATGATTATTTTAGTTTCGATTTAGTTATATAAATAACATTAACAGTGTAAAAATAGTTTGACTGAATGTACTTGCGTTGTTTTTCATTTCTCACTATCCATAGTAAGTGATTCATTTCGTGTAAAGTTACGTTTTAGGTTAAACTTAGAGCATAAAGTCCCAAATCATTAACTTTCTCGGGGCCGAAAACCATGTGGATGGCATTAAACAGGTCTGAGAAAAGTGGTGACTAAATTATTAACCAAATATGTACATTATGCCTCTCATGTACATTTCAAATATACAGCCCTGGTTTGCGCAAACTACTTTTCCATCTCGGTAAATAAACAAGAAAACTATGCAGAGCGCAGGATCTGCGTAGCGGGAAAACACAAAGATGTCTTTCAGCGCCAGAATGCAACGGTCTAACAAAAATTCACTTGAAAAATTACCACGGTGCGGTCTTTCACGCCCGAAGCTGCTCAGTAGCCACTTGTTAGCGAAATGCAAGAGATTCTTTGTCGAGGAAAAAATTCAACAGTATCATTGCCCGTGGGAGTCACAGTTACGATGGCAACAGTAAGACCACTGACCCCTCAGCATACACGCAGCTGTGCTATGAGCAAGCAGACCACTGACTCCTTAGCGATACCCACAGCTGGAGCATCGACATTTAAGACCACTGACCCCCTGAGAATACCCATAGTAAGGAGAATTAACAGTAAGGCAACTGACTCCTTCACGATACCTGCAGCTGTGTGTAGTAACAACCCTATTACCATTCTCTCCTGCTGTTTTAGTAATCTAAGACAACCGCTTGCAATGTAAGTGACCTCGGTCAACTGTCTCGTCTCACGCCAGTTACGATGCACAAGGTGGCTGGTATATTTCTTAAACACAGAGGGCTGCTTACTCCAGTGTTTCCTCAAAGAACGTGGAGCAAACGCGTCGATCTCTAAGCAACGAGACAGTATCTCTATCGTTTGCTACATTTAACGATAGGCGCCGCTTAGATTACAGTTGCTTTGTGTCTGTAGGGGAAGGGGGGGTTTCCACGCAGGAAACGCCTGCTAGTTCATGAAATTGTGCTCGGTAATGGTATGCGTGTGCACGCACGAGATCGCATAAAGGACGGATAAATAAAGCACATAGGAGTCCATAACAGAGGCAGCTGCGCGTATGTGTGACTCACATCGTTTGCAGTGCCTCTAATAATTCTTAATTCTAACGTTCAAAAATTAATTTATACATCCATTTTAAGTTTTCGCTGCGCGCTTTGCGCGCGAACAGATTATCTCAGTTTGCATTCAACGGTTGTAGCTTTCCGAGTGCCAAGGCTAAAGGAAAATCGTGTCAGTATCAAAATGTTAGCTTTAAGTATAAACTATTGCTTGCAATAGCAACTTTAATACACAGGAGTCACAGGAGTGGTAAGTCCGCAGTTGTGAGTTGTGACTGCACTCTTCAATCGCCAGCGCATAAAAACACAAAACAATACTTTTTCAACAGTCAATTTCATCTGGGGAATAAACGCATGAGGTGGAGGCGCCCCCCTCCCCATCCAAAAGGTGGGGGCAAAACGCATTCTCTCCCCCCCAAAAAAAGAAAGAAAGGAAGGAAGAAGAGGCGGAAAAAAATCATAAATAGGAGAAGAAAAATAAACAAGTGCCGCAGAGCGAAAGGGCTCATCTGGTGTCTGGTGTTCTGCTGATAAATACATTTGTGCATAGCAAGACGTCCTATACATACATTCATTTCTAACCCCAAAAAAACAACACTAGTCTAATAAAATTCCGATAGATGGCGGGCCGCTATTAAAGGCATCGTTGCATCCATAGAAATAGATAGATAGATAGATAATAAATAGATCCAAAGTTATCTATCTATTTCTATGGTTGCATCGGTCAGCCAAAGCATTGCAGCAATGGCAGCTGTCAGTGTGACGACGGATTGCAAAAAGCAGGAGCGAATAATTACCATAATATTATTACTATACATAACGTGCGTTTTATGGTGTCAGGTAATAAGGTAGCCTACATTAAACCCCTTGCGAAGCACATCTGGCTCGTTAAAAAATAGCTCAATGATTGATACAACCAGAGCAGCTCGTGCAAGATTACAATTTACAGCAATGTGATAGAAAATATCTATAAACTAATTTCAGTACAAGGTAGGCCAGTGATTAGTGGACCGAATAAGCTCAAGAACGTACACACTTGCGTCTATATTGGTGCCAAAATTTGATGAGAAAATTCAGTCTGGGAAATCCGCAGCCTCGCTCCTGGGTAATTATTTGAGTGCTAGTGACTGTATTCCAACTATTCATAATGTACACTACAGAATCTCATATATAAGTCATCTCATTATCTCCTAAGTAAGCGTTGTTCAAGTAAGAGTTATGTGTGGAATTTCACTGTAAAATGGGAGCTTTCCACAACCACAGGTACTCGCCAACGCAGTTGAGAAACAAATCGATGTTTAACCCTCCTCTTGCGGGTCAAAAGGTTATCAGACACTTACTCTTCGCATGTCAGCAGAAAGTACATTTCATGGTCCTTTCAATAAAGCCATAAAAATGCTAGGTCCCCGCTGAAACAAAAAAGTTTTTCAATCGCTCCGTCAGACCATGTCCTCAGAAAATGTATAAAATCTGCCCTGTGCCCCATTGACCTTTGACCTGTGACCTCCAACGAGAACGCATTCTTAGCAGACGAGACGTACGCAAAATGGCGCGCGCGCGCTCTTGGAGAGTTTTGTGTTCCATGCAGCACCGTCGTACGGCTACTTGTGAATGCCACGCGAGAGTATTGACAACGTCGGTCGACGTCCGCCATGCAAACAGTTGCCACGCGTGTACGTTCGCTGTCCCCTTAATCTGTCCACGGCCACTGTGAGGGGGGATATACAGCCTCCCTATAATCCGACTGCTATGAGGAACTGGCAATGAATGCCCAGCGTATGTCTACGGGACAATCGTGACTTTGATTCTTGGCCTTTCGATGTGTAGCGGAGTATCCGTTGTTTCCGACTGCGGGCCCTTTTCGCCTGTTCGGACAATCGGGGGTCTGTTGTTGGTCAGTCCTTCTGCATAAAGGGCCGCTGGACGTCAGAGTTTTATTATTACGCTTGCTCTGCGCAGCCGCAACTAGAAGGTCTATAGTAGCTGTCGCGTTTAATGAAAATATACACGATTTTCCGTATTCGGTTTCGTATTCGGGTTTACGAAGTTGAAACCTGTATTTAAATGCCAAAGTCACGGCAGATGACTCCGTAAAGGCAGTTCAACAGAAGTGTATGATTGTACAATTTGCAATGTCTACTGTGTTATCACAAGGTTGGGAGAACACACAGCGGGCCCAACTTAGCGTAACGCAAGTACTAATTATTTTTTTTTGCTAGATACGTTTGGAAATAGTTAGAAGGGCTCTTCAGTGAAGAATAAAGGTCTTGCAATGCATATAACGAATGAATAGCAGCTCGTCTTTCACTCAGTATATATACAGTTTCAAAAGCATACGCTAATCATCAGGGATCTTGAAACTATCAATTGACGAGCACCGGGCAGATCTAGCGAGGTGAATGACACATACATGAGGTAGCCATGAATAAGAAGCATAGGAAACTGAGTTGAGAAGAGGAATGGACACGGTGGGGCGATGAAAAAAGATGGGGCAATAGCAATTGGAGGGTTGAAAGCGAGAAAATATAGGGGAGAAACGATATGCTACAGAACGTAGAGAAGAGGAGAGAATAGCAGCGCATGAAAAAGAGAGACAGAAAGAGAGAGAGAGAGAGAAAGAAAGGCAGAGAAAGAGAGAGAGAGAGAGAAAAAAAAGAGAGGAAGAGAGAGAGAGAGAGAAAGAGAGAGAGAGAGAGAGGGGGGAGGGAGAGATGTAGAACGGACATCTCAACGGTGCTTTGGTTACAGTAATTCAGCACTCGGTTCGGGGGTTCTCGCTTAGTGAGTGAAACCAGCGAGCTATATATATGCTTACAAGTATACATTACCCTAACAATAATACGTCATTTCTTCCGTTACACTTCCAACCATGGTGATCGCTATATACATAAAGTCATATCCCTTACTTGTAATTACATAAATGTGATCTTTAAATTAGCCACCGGAATGATAAATGATATCTTTAGTCGGTGCTAATATGCTATTTTAACTAACAGCATTTCAAAGGAATGAGTTGACAAAAGAATAAACATTGCTGTAATCCTGGAATAGCTGGTGCGGTAAAACCCAGCGACGGAAAATCATATGGCTGCTGGCATGGCAGCGATTTAAGTAGATGATTACTTCTAATGCCGGATAATTATGATAATTTAATACGCCTATATTTATACGCTCAGACGCTAGACAGTAATTATGTGATTAGTTATTTCTGCCTTACGCGCAGTTTTAGCAGGCGTATCCTGGTTCACCACCCGACGATTACTCAGTGATGACCACCCAGATACGTCATTACACAAAAGAAATGCTGCGACAGTAACATTGCACGCACACACACATGCACGCATACACATACGTGCATGCACGCATACATATAATCCATCATTTCCGCGCGAGCTCTTTTTCTCTATATCTCTCTCTCGTTCACCCTTTCGTTCCTTCTTGAGTTCCTTCGGTCTCTCTTTATCTTTCTGCCTCGCTTTCTCTCTCCCCTTCTCTCCGTCTCTCTCTCTTTCTCTCTCTTTCTCGCTCGCTACCTCTCTCTGTCTCTGTCTCCCTCGCGCGCTCTCTCGTATCAATTTTTAATTAGATTTTTTTTCATCAACTGCTTTTCTCGGCTACGGATCAAGATGGTACTTTTACCGGTGCTAGCGAGAGCAATTAGCGTCATCGA